AGTTCTGCTAATCCTCCCTTAGCACATTATTTTCACTATTCAATTTAGCAACAACACTCACTCATGTCGTTCTGTAAGCTGACAGATAGATACATAAAAATGTGTTAGGTACTCTAGCTTCATGGATAATTTTTCAGTGGCCTTTATCATGACCATCATCTTCACATTCTTCGCACTATCAGACTGAGTCACCCTTGAAATTTCACTAAGAAAGCCTTCTCAGATTATCTTCTGGTGGCCATGCCTTACATTCTGGCTGATCAGATTCTTCTCTCTTTCACAAAGTCCCTCCTCAACAGTTCAATCCAGAGTAATTTTGCAGCAGTGAGTCACAGCATTACTGGCTATCTTTCCCGTTTAGGTAAGCAACTCTTTTCCATGTGGCAACATTTAGCAGAACAGGGAATTTTACTTACACAATTTTCAGAAGAGCTCTTCTTTCGTGATAGGCACTTAGAGTAGGCATCTAAAGCCTGTTCCTAGGAGTTTTGTCAATGGGGAAAGATTCAGGCTGTGAGTGTGAGGAACAAAGGACTGAAGCCAGCAGAAGGGGTGATGTAAGAAACACTGATGGTAAGGAGACTTACGAGAGGAGAGCTGCCGTGAAAATCAATGCTCAGTGGAATCTAAAATAGAAGATTTCAGACATTTTGTCGAGTGCTTTGGAATCCAATTCTTGAGATATCTCTATAGAAGTTTCCACAGAAACCATAATGAAATTTTAAATAACTCAAAGAAAAATAAAAGTTTTGAGATGCACAGGTTACTAATAATTCCTGAAATTTTATATGAATATTTACATCTTTGGGGGTGTTCTAGTTAAAGTTTCTATTGCTATGATAGAACACCAGGACCAAAATCAACTTTGGGAGTAAAGTGTTTGTTTCATCTTCTATTTCCATATCACAGAGCACCATTGTAGGAAGTCAGGATAGGAACTCAAGACAGGAATCTTTGGACAGTAACTGAAGCAGAAGATATGGAGGAACTCTGCCTACAGCCTTGCTCCTACTGGCTTGTTCAGTCTGCTTTCTTATACACCTCAGGACTGCCTGCCCAGGGGTAGCATCATCCACAATGGGCTTGGCCTCCCTACATCAATTGTTAACTAAGAAAATGAAGTACAAGCAAATCTTATTGAGGTATTTTCTCAATCGAGATTCCGTCTTCCTAAATGAGTCTAGCTTGTGCCAAGTTAACATAAAACTAGCCAGAATGACTGGGCGATGGTGGCACACACCTTTAATCCCAGCACTCGGGAGGCAGAGCCAGGTGGATCTCTGTGAGTTTGAGGCCAGCCTGGTCTACAGAGTGAGATCCAGAACAGGCACCAAAACTACAAAGAGAAACCCTGTCTAGAAAAAACAAGCAAACAAACAAAAAACTAGCCAGCATGGGTTGGGGTGGGGTGGGGTTTATTATGCCATTCCTGTTCATACTCTTCATAAAAGAAATTGTATTTTTGCCTTTTGAATTCTATTGGGGGTCTAGAACATTTTTGGGAAAAAAAGAAAAAGATTCCTCAAGGGGGAACTATCTCAGAGAAAGGAAAGGAACAAGCCAAAGAGGAGATCAGGTAATGCGGGAAAAGGTAATGAGTGAGGTTGTCTTAGTTATTTTTCCCATTTGCTATGGTAAAATACTCTGACAAAAGCAACTTAAAAAAAGGGTTTATTTTCACTTACAATTAGAGATTTCAGTCTATTATGATGGGAAAAATCAAGCAGCAAGATCTACAGGCAGCTGGGCACATCACATTCATAGTCAAGAAGCAGAGAGAGAGAGAGAGAGAGAGAGAGAGAGACAGAGACAGAGAGAGACAGAGAGAGACAGAGAGAGACAGAGAGACAGAGAGAGAGACAGAGAGAGAGAGAGGATGCTGATCAGTTTCCTTTCTCCGTCTATATACTTCAGAATCCCAGCTGAGGAATGGTAATGCCCACAGTAGGCAGATCTTCTACAATCAAGACTGTCTCCACAGTGTAAGTAAACTGCAAAAACTCTGGGTTTGGTGTCCCAAGTTTCAGCACCAAAATGTTAGTAAATTAATGGCTGAAACTGCAAGGAGACAGTTCAGCCCTAGAGGGCGAGGTATCCTGGACACCTCAAGCTACTCAGAACAAGAGCTCTGCCCTGAAGGTGTCCCGGACACCTGAAACTGTTTAGCACAGCTCTGATGGCTGGGACTGCAAAGAAACAGCCCAACATTGGAAAGGAAATGATTCTGACTTCTCGGGAGAGTCAGGCCTGGAACTGCTTCAGCAAAGAAGGGTATCCTGACTCTTTGGGAAAATCAGGATATACCTGGTGTAATGAGGCATAGTCTCCCTGCAGGACACAGCAATCTTGCTCCTCTCCTGGAGAGCCACAATCTCCAGCTCAGTGTTACCAGCTCTCTCTTGCTCAGTCTTAGCAAGGGTCTTCTGTTCAGCTCCCCCTTGCTCAGTCCACTATGGGACGTCCCAGCAAGGTTCTTCTGTTCACCAGTGAATGAGGGTCTTCACCCAAAACTCTTCTGAGAAAGAGGTTTATTTGGGAAGGAGGAGTCCAGGAGAGTAGCTGCCTCTACCAGGGTGGAGAGAACAGCTCACAACTCACTGGGCAGGGTGGTTTATATAGGATGTCTAGGGGGCGGAGTCAGCTGTGATTGGTTAGTTTATCTTCTGCCCAGGGATTGGCCAGTTTTGTGGGCAAGGGGCAGAGATGGCCCTGATTTCAGGACCAAACTGTATTTCTTTCACTGGCCTTTCTTGGCTTTTTGACACTACCTCTAAGGCCAGGGCACATTTCTTTCACTGACTGATTCTAGGGGCCAAGAGTGTAATTTTGGTACTAGTTTCAGAGTCAGGGCGTATTTCCTGGGTTCTGGGTTTGGGGATAAAGTGTTCATTTCTCTGGCTCAGGTCCCAAACACAGGCTGTTTCTTTCCCTGGTCCTGGGCCCTAGGGCCAGGATTCTGCTGTCCTGCTTTGTGATTGGTTGATTTCACAAGTCAGTTGGACAGGGGCAGAGATGGCTCTGATCTGAGCTAAACTGTGTTTCTCTCACTGGCCTTACTTAGCTTTTTGACACTACCTCTAAGGCCAGGGCACATTTCATTCACTGACTCTGATTCTAGGGGCCAAGATTGTTTCTTTGGTACTGGTTTCAGAGTCAGGGCATGTTTCCTTGGTTCATTTCTCTGGCTTTGGTCCCAAACACAGGTTGTGTTTCTTTCCCTGATCCTGGGCCCTAGGGCAGGATTCTGCTGTCCTGCTCTGTGATTTGTTGATTTCACAAGTCAGTTGGACAGGGGCAGAGATGGCTCTGATCTGAGCTAAACTGTGTTTCTCTCACTGGCCTTATCTGAGCCATCCTTCTCTAATTCTGGACTCCAGAGTCAGGGTGGGTTTCTTTATCCAGCCCCTTTTCCCTGCACACAGGCGTAGACAGAGGAGATGTCCCAGGTGATTATAGATCCTGTCAAATTGACAGTTAACAAAAACTGTCTCAGAGGGGGCCCGAGTAGAAGAGAAGGTAGTGACATATATAAATGAAAATGGAACGATGAAACCCAGAATTTTTAATATAACTTAAAGCAATGAAAGATTTCACAAATCAAAGTTTCATTATAAAGCTGTAGTATTAGAATTTTACAAGCATATTTAATGATTCAAGAAGATGTTGATGTATCACTTTGAAGTGTGTATGTGTGTTTGTGACCTTGTAAACTCAATTTAGTTAAATACCCAGACAGATCTTTAAAGCCTTTAATTCCAGGCAAGAAACCATTGATAAACAAATGATCTGCCAAAGAAGAAGGAGGAGAAGGAGGGTAAGAGGAGGAGGAAGAGGAAAGGAGAACGGGGGAGAGAGAGGAAGTCAGTCAATGGCTGGTATCATTTTTTTTATTGAGTTACTTAAGACATTTTTAGTTTAATTCCCCTGTTTAAATGCCAAGACTGTAGAGTCTATTCTAAGCACATTGTGCCTAGGATGAAATAATATTTTCCTCAAATGCCAGGAAAGCATCAAGAGCCATTTTTACTTTCAAAATCCAGACAGTGGAATACAATGGGTATTTTCTTGTGGTGTATTATTTTTAAGAAAAAAATAGACTCCTTCTATATTTTCTGTTAATTAAACAGAAACTCATAGTCTGTGACCCCAAGGGAACAGAAAGGAGTGGGAGGTACCAGAATCTATTCCTGGACCTACCCCTGACTCACAGAATATGTCTAGACAAATCTCTAAATATCTCTGTCTTGGCTTCATGAGAATTTTGATTTATCAATTCATTCATTCATGCATGTAGCATTTGGGAGAAACTATGCAGTGTCTGTATACAATGAAAAGGCTTAGATTCTTGAGCACACAGTGTTGGAAGAGAGGCAGACATGCAAATAAGCGTTGTAATTTCTATCTCATGTAGTGTAGCACATGGACTAAACATACAATGATACAACAGGGCTTACTGGAGGGGGTTATGAGGGTCAGGGATACTTAACTGGGTCAGGTAGAATAGATCAGAATTTTTTAGGAGAAACTGAGAGAAGAAAATTCTAAGCACAAGGAACGTCATATATGTGAAAGAATACTTGAGAGGTAGGGTAATAACGTAAATTGTTTAATATAAAAGTATAAATGGTTCAGTGTAACTGGATTTATGTTGAGGTCTTTGATCCACTTGGACTTTAGTTTTGTACAGGGTGACAGAGATGGATCTATTTTCATTCTTCTACATGCCCAAATCCAGTTACAGCAGCACCATTTGTTGACAATGCTTTCTTTTTTTTCATTGTATAATTTGTGGTTCTTTGTCAAAAATCTTGTGTCCATAGATGTGTGGATTTATGTCATAGTCTTCAATTCAATTGACCCATCTGTCTGTTTTTATGCCAATACCAGGCTGTTTTTTATGACTATAGCTCTGTAGTAGAGCTTGGAATCAGAGATGGTGATACCTCAGGAAGTTTCTTTACTTTATAGGATTGTTTTAGCTATCCTGAACTTTCTTTTTTAAGGGGAGAGCGCGAACACAGTCCCCCACTACCACAAATTATGCAGTCGAGTTTCCCCCGCACTTGGGGAAATCCGCAGGGGTCCGCACATCCGGAGTGCAATGGATAAGCCTCGACCTGGGAAATTCACCATCGTGATCATGGTATCTCCTCTGCCAGGTAAGTATTAACTTTTTGTTTTTCCATATGAAGTTAAGTATTGTTCTTTTAAGGTCTGTAAAGATTGTGTTGGAATTTAGATGAAAATCAATCTACCTCAAGACCCAGCTATACCACTCTTGGGCATGTACCCAAAAAATGCTCAATCATTCCACAAGGACATTTGCTCTACTATGTTCATAGCAGTATTATTCATAATATCCAGGACCTGGAACTAACCTAAATGCCTCTTAATCAAAGAACTGATAAAGAAAATGTAGTCCATTTACACAATGGAGTATTACTCAGCTGTTAAAAACAATGACATCAGAAAATTTTAAGGCAAATGGATGGATCTATAAAACATCACCCTGAGTGAGGTAACCCAGACCCAGAAAGACCAACATGGTATGTACTCACTCATAAGTGGATATTAACTGTAAAATAAGAAATAACCATGCTATAATCCACAGCCCCAGAGAGGCTAGGTAACAAGGAAAGACCAAAGTGGAATGGGGATATGTGGATTTCCCTGGGAAGGGGAAATAAAAGAGAACTCCTGGATAGACTGGGGGCCAACAGGGATAGGAACATGAGGGATTGGGTCGGGGGAGTGGGTGGAGAGGGAGAATAATAAAAGAGACGTCTTGATGGGTTAGGGAGAAACCTGGTGCAAGAGAAACTCCCACTAATCTACAAGGATGACCCAGCTAAGACTCCTATCTATAGTGGAGAGGGTGCCTGAACTGGCCATCTCCTGTAATCAGATTCGTGACTACCCTAATTGTCATCAGAGAGCCTTCATCCAGTAACTGATGGAAGCAGATGCAGAGATCCACAGCCAAGCACTGGGCCTGGCTCAGAGAATCCTGTTGAAGAGAGGGAGGAGCCAGGGTGGGTGGGGGTCAAGGTCATAAAAAGGGAACCCACAGAAACAATTAACCTGGGCTCATAGGAGCTCACAGACTCTGGACCGACAGCAAGGGAGCCTGCATGAGACTGACCTAGGCCCTCTACATATGTAAGAATTGTGTAGCTTGATCTATCAGTGGTACTCCTAACAGTGGGAGCAGGGCCTGTCCCTGATGCTTTGGGTGACTTTCAGGAACATATTCTTTATACTCGGTTGCCTTGCCCAGCCTTAATACAAACGGAGGAGTTCAGTCCTACCTCAACTTGATACGCCATGCTTTGTTGACATACATGGGAGCCCTGCCCCTTTCTGAGCAGAAACAGTGGAAGTGGATTGGAGGTGCAGTGGGGGAAGGGAGTGTTAGGAGAGGATGGAGAGAAACTGCAGTCAGGATGTAAAATAAATAAATAAATTTAATTAATAATAATAAAAGTATAAACGGGGGTTGGAAAGCAAAAACAAGGGAAAATATCAGAAGGAGTTTGGATATTTTACCCCAGATAGTAATTGAGTCCTATTTCTGCTCTTCAAGAAGAAAAATTGGGTGATAATGTGACAAACTGCATTGTAGAGACTAAAGTTATGCAGAGTTTTTCAGAAAGAAACTACAATGATTGAGACAGATGATTAAGATAAACTACACCAAAATAATGGCAAGAAAGAGCTGGAGGATGAAATAGACCAAATTAAGGAAGTAAACAGAGTCCCATAGAACCATTGAAAATGGCAGAGTGAGGGGACAGGATACTCCAGACTTCTTGCTCAATGGATAGGTAGGTTACTTGCCCATTTCATTAACTTATTACTGGGAGAACAAGGATTTTGTGTTTGTGTATAGTGAATTTTAGGGGAAATACAAAAATGGCCTTAGAAAACGAAATTAGTCTTTGTCAACAAACATTTCTAAAAAGTAACCACACCTTTACTCAAATTTGGAGTGAATCTAATGAGCCTCATGTTTCTAGACTTTTCTCAGAAAATCGTACCAATGCTGTCTTTCTAGAATTCCCCTTCCATGCATGTTTTCCATCTCATTTTAAATTCAGCCTTGTGTAGGATGGCCAAGTTCAATTATCTGTAGAAAATGTGGAGAATGTTATCTACAAACAGCTCTAAGAAGCTGCTCAGGGTCTTCAGGAGCCCTCAACTACTGCCATTTTTAAAACAATGTTATTTTCATTGCTATATTAGTATAGCCTAGTTGCCTGTTAACTTCTTAACATTTATAAAATTTTCAGATTGTAAATGAGTTCACCAAGTTCAAAATGGAATAGAATATGATGGTTATTCAAGTTGTTCATATTTTGCTTAGTATTATTGTCTTCTTCTAAAGCCCATGCAAAGGCTATGTTTCCATTCCATATAGAGACAAAAAGAATGGAAGGAGAGAGAAGTAGAGAATGGAGTGGAAAATAGACATTTTCTTTGTACAGACAGGGAATTAAATGGGAGGCTTATATTAACATAAAGTAATGTTTTCTCTGAGTTTTCCCAACTCTTATTTTCCCTCTGAAATAAAAGTTATGATTTTGGATGTCTGTCAGTAATCAAAATGCCTTGAGTTGACTGCCCCAAATCTGTCAATTTGGAGTTAATTGTGAGAAGACATGAAATATCATAATGCAATCCCCTCCTTTTGTATGAATACAATTAAGTAAGAAAGCCATAGGAAATTTTATCTATAATAGGCTGACTGGATGTCTTTAAGGACAATATATTTATATACAGTATGGGTTACATATACAAAACTTTTAAAACTACCACCAGAAATAGTTATGTTTTCAGGGAGGATAAAAGCCAAAAATAAATATCTATTTAAAAACTGCCAGAAAAAAAAATACCTCAGTATTTTCCAACTCAATGTTTTTTTTTTTTTTATTTTGCAATACCATTCAGTTCTACATATCAGCCACAGATTCCCTTGTTCTCCCCCCTCCTGTCCCCCTCATCTCCCCCCCCCAGCCCCCCCCTCCATTCCCATCTCCTCCAGGGCAAAGCCTTCCCCACAGACTGAGATCAACCTGGTAGACTCAGTCCAGGTAGCTCTAGTCCCCTCCTCCCAGGCCGAGCCAAGCAATCCTGCATAGGCCCCAGGTTTCAAACAGTCAACTCATGCAATGAGCACAGGACCCGGTCCCACTGCCTGGATGCCTCCCAAACAGATCAAGCCAATCAACTGTCTCACCCATTCGGAGGGCCTGATCCAGCGGGGACCCCTCAGCCATTGGTTCATAGTTCATGTGTTTCCATTCATTTGGCTATTTGTCCCTGTGCTTTATCCAACCTTGGTCTCAACAATTCTCGCTCATATAAACCTTCCTCATTGTCGCTAATTGGACTCCCAGAGATCTACTGAGGGCCTAGTCATGGATCTCTGCATCCAGTTCCCTCAGTCGTTGGATGGGGTTTCTAACATGACAACTAGGGTGTTTGGCCATCCCATCACCAGAGTAGGTCAGTTCGGGCTGTCTCTCGACCATTGCCAGCAGTCTGTTGTGGGGGTATCTTTGTGGATTTCTGTGGGCCTCTCTAGCACTTTGCTTCTTCCTATTCTCATGTGGTCTTCATTTAACATGGTCTCCTATTCCTTGTTCTCCCTCTCTGTTGTTGATCCAGCTGGGATCTCCCGCTCCCCCAAGCTCTCTTTCCCTCGACCCTCGCCTTTCACTACCCCCACTCATGTCCAGGCTGTTCATGTAGATCTCATTCCATTTCTCTGTCATTGGGCGATCCCTGTGTCTTTCTTGGGGTCCTGTTTTCCAGGTAGCCTCCCTGGTGATGTGAGTAGCAGTCCATCATCCTTGTTCCATGTCTAGTATCCTGCTATGAGTGAGTACATACCATGTTTGTCTTTCTGAGTCTGGGTTACCTCACTCAGGATGATTTTTTCTAGATCCATCCATTTGTCTGCAAACCTCATGATGTCATTGTTTTTCTCTGCTGAGTAGTATTCCATTGTGTATATGTACCACATTTTGTTTATCCATTCTTCAGTTGAAGGGCATCTAGGTTGTTTCTATGTTCTGGCTATTACAAACAATGCTGATATGAACATAGCTGAACAAGTGATCTTATGGTGTGGTTGAGCATTCCTTGGGGATATGCCCAAGAGTGGTATAGCTGGATCTTGGGGGAGATGGATTCCCAATTTTCTAAGAAAGCGCCATATCAACTCAATGGTTTTTAAGAGTTAGCTTCCTGTCCCCACATCATTTGCACCATGAATACAGCTAAGCTTCCATTGTGTAAGACTTCACTAGTAAACTCTATTATTCCCATTAATTTCTGTTTGTGTCTGCCACTGCACCCTTCATGAACAGGAGGAAAATATGAAGTCCAACATTAACCATTCTAATATGTAGACTTAATGGTCCCCTGTCAAAAGATTTGGTGAAGGGCTTTGAAACTAAAGACTAAGACGTTTTCTTTAAAAAAGTGGGGGGGGGGGAAAGAGAAAGTAAAACAGAAGACAAGTCACAGGTCCTGGCAATGCAAATTTTATTTATTTTTCTTTCTGACAAAGTGCCACCCGCACAAAAAACTGAGGGTTGCCTTTAGAGACAGTATGAAGAGGAAGAAAATGATTTTAACATGAAACTTTCTGTTCGGCAAGTTATTTTCCTTTCACTTTTCTTTCTCTCATTTTGAACAATGATTGAAAATAGATTCTTCCCCCATACAATACATCTCAACCACAGTTTGCCCTCCCTCCACTCCTTTCAGTTTCCCCCCAATTCTCCTCTCCCTCAGATCTGCCCCCCCCCCCCCCGTTTCCCTTCAGAAAGGAGCAGGCCTCCAAGAGATAACAATCAAAAACAACAAAACAAGACACAGTAAGACAAAGCAAAAGCCTTTATACTGTGGAGGCTGGACAAGGCGATCCAATAGGAAGAACAGACTCCCCAGAGCAGGCAAAAGAGCCAGAGACACATCCACCCCCACTATTAGGAGTCCCACATACAAATCAAGCAAACAGGCATAACATATGAAACAGTATTTTCATGAGTGTAATTAAACTCCCTGGTTTGGAGTTTTCCTTCTGTCCTGATTGGTTTGCAGATGGATACTGTTTAAATTTGACTTTATCTTGGGATATCTTATTTCTTCACGTACGGT